ATAATTAAATTAAAATAAAAATTTGACAATTTTTTGTTATCTTAAATGTTACCATAATCATAACCATCGAGGGGACTGGGGAGAAAAGCCTATTGTTTCATTGCTATAAATATGAAAATGTTTGTTTAATTTGTATTCTTAAGGTATAGATAGAAAAATCTAATATAAAATTGCAACAATGCCTCTTGCAGTAATGCCAAGTGTAATTTTGGACCCTTAGATTAACTTTTATAGTCTGACTAGGGCTCTTTTAATTTGTACTCTTGGTATTAAGGTATAGGTTATGATATAATTAATATATTTTTTATATTAATTAATATTAATAAGATAAAAATTAATAATTAATTAATTAATTAATCAATTAAAATAATCTATATAACATTTATAGTATAATTAAAATTAATTTTTATTTTTTATATAATTTAATAGTAAAAAATATATTAATTATGCTTTTAATATGTATACTAATCATATATATTAGAAAAACTCATTGATTAATAGGAGCTGTTTTTTGGGTTGACTTTTGTTCTAAAGAATTTTATATTAGTAATGATTTTTAGTCAAATCCCTCAAATTATGAGTAAATTCTGAGTGGTCAACTTGGGTATCAACATCTAAGTTGAATAATGCACACACTAAGCTTCTACTTGCCAAAAATGCTAGCATTAATACTCTTTTAAATTCCTCTTTTATTCAGCACTTTCTCTGAAACTAGTGAGCGCAACAAATGAGTTTGAATTTTACATATAATATAATTTATAGAAATATTATATTAATTTATCAGGTTAACTAACTGTGAAGAGTAGAGTATTGTTTTAAAATGAGAGTACAAAAGAAAGTGTCCTCAACTCCATCTTCATAATAATACCCACCAAGAATTCACAGCCATAATTATTCAGATATTTGCAAGTGGAGAAACATTCCTATTGTTATAATGCGGAGCCAGGGGGTGCGAGGGGGGTGCTCGCTCGCCTGAAATTTGAAAATCTTGTAAATCAGTATATAATTAGTATATGAAAAATTATTTAACCTCTCTTGAACTTTAAAAATTTTAGCATCTTGCCCCCCTAAGAAAATTTCTGCCTCCACCCCTGGTTATAATACCAACATCTCTCCCATAATTCCAAATCCTAGACGCACCCACATCCCCTTTAACCTTCTTTTTCTCTTCTCTTAGTAAATTTTTTAACTTCTAAAAAACTATTATTTAAATGTGTTGTCTAACAAAAGGATTTGGTAAAATGTCTTACATTAGAACAGAAAAGATTTTTATGATAGTTAAGAGTGCATATTAAGAGTATAATTAATTTTTTTTTACATTAATTAAAATTAAAAATGACAAAATTTAATATTAATTTCATCACCAATGTTATGTAGTAAATTATTTAAATTAAACAATTAATAAAATAAATGTAAATTTTTATTTTTTTAATATTAAAAATATGTCTTTAATCTCAACTTTTAAGATATAAGTTAAAAAAAGAAAAAAAAATCAAAATCAAAATGTTCTCACATTTAAAATATTAAGATTTCATATAAAATTATTTAAATACTTTTAATGAATATTTTTTATAAATTGATTTATAAAAAAATATTTAAATAATTTCATACAAAGTTCTTACATTTACGATTTCAACTAATAAGGTGTCATTTAATTGGCATTTTATGATTTCAACTAATCTTGTGTTCAAAAAAAAAAAAAAAAATTGTGCTCATGGATGGATTCAATTAATCTCTCTTATGATTTCAACAAACCTCTCGTGTCATTTAATTGGCATTTCTTTAAGAACTTTCTAATGGATGGTATCATATGCTCTTTGAACCAACTTTTCGTTATAAATTAATCAAAATCCATTTCGTTGGGACAGCTTTTAATCATTTTTTTCTTCAAAGACAAAAATTTTCACCCTTGAAGCTACTATTCATTTGCTCCTTTCACTCATTTTGTAACTTTGTAAGTACTGTATACTAAATCATTATCATGAAGAATAATCTATATTTCCCGACCTCAATCTATAAGTGCACTATATATGATGTAACAAAAGAAAGTAGAAATAACATAAGCAATGCACTTTTAACTGTAAAAGAAACCAACTTTCACTGAACCATTAGACTTTTGTAATTATGTTTTTCATCTTATCCATTTCTCCCCCTTCTTTTCCCTTTCCCTTGTATTTGTTTTGATCTTTCCATGTGAAAGGATCACTAATTTAATCCATACATTTGATTATTAATCAAGTACCTATGCCTAGTCCGCCCATATCCGACAAGTGAATAAAGATAGTAAGAAGAATATTAGGGACGTTTCCATTAAAAGCTTGAATTTCTTTCTTAGAGAGGTCTTAAAGAGATTTAGTATAGAAGAGAATCATATCTATTGGGTAAACGAGATCAGATGTCAAATATATATATCTTATACTTACATAAGCTTTGAAGAATGCAAATCTTGACAATTTAATAAGTTTTGGTCTATGCATTGTGGTTGTGGAGGTTTAGTGGGTTTTTGTTTTTATTACCTGGTGGACTGCTTGGCTTGGCTGGCACTATGCATCTTTGTGGACTCATGTTGCTGTCCACTTCAGCCTTAAACTCATTCCACTTTAATTCTCTTATATTCTCTCTACCCTTTTTTTATCCTTATGTAAAACATGAATTTACCCAACCCTAAAAAATAACTAAAGCCTCAAAGCTATCTCTCGATTGTAGGGTATTTGTCTCACATCGTTTTTATATACATAAGTTAAAAGATATGTATAAGATTTCATGTAACTATAAACTAATCAATTTTAAAATTGTAATGTGTTTTATTTTTGTATCATATTACTATTATTCAACAAAAAAAACTAAAACTAAAACTTCAAAGGAAAATATTAAGGTTTCATTTATATTTTTGCACAGAAAATGTCAACGGAGTTTTGGTAACATCTGAGCTATCACATGACGGTTGTTGTAATGGTTGGTGATGCAGACAAACAGGCAATAGGGATGATATGGCATGAGGTTGAATTGCCAGTTGGATTTTTCCATGGTTCTGTTTGAATCATGTAATTTCCATAGGTTGAGATGATAACATCTAGCAGAAAAAGGCATACCAAAGAACTTTTTAACATAGGGGTGTTAGCCTTTTACGCACCATATATATTGAAATATTAAGGAATCATATGATATATTGGGTTGGGTATGTTCCCTTATCCAGCACTCACTTTCCAGCCTATATATGATGTCGCTAGTGAGATCCAACAACCTAAGTCTTGGGCTCTACTCCCGCCGATTTATGTATTTACACTTTCTTCATGTTATTTGTTGTATTAAAGATTTAAAACCTATTTTTATTCAATAATTTAAATTGTATAGTTTAAACTATATAATATTTTTTATTTATAATTTGTGTTCTTTGTGTAATCATAAAAAATAAAAATAAAAATAAAAACCCACTTTTGGAACTTGTATAACATAGTTTGTCATAATTTGGTATTTTTGTTGGTAATGACCGATCATATAAAATGTCAAGAAAATATCAAAGTCATCAAAAGAATTAAGCCAAAACCGGTATATTTAAAAGAATAGAAGAATGCCAGCCATTGAGCAAACACAATCCGGAAGGTTTGACTGGAGGGGCAATATGCTTATTTGCACGCCCATGCTCATTTGCACGCCTCCACTAGATGCAATTCTATTTCTTCTGAATTTCTAATACAATCCGGACCACACATCTTCCCCTTTTTCCGTAGAATTTTCTAGGAAATTGATTGCTTTTGACTCTAGAAACTTCTATATAATGTTCTTTCACATTCTAGGTGTGATTAATTTGATCAGAATTCATTCACATTCTTGCCCATTTATGCTAGATTTCATAAATGAACAGTTATATATATATATATATATATTCTGTTGACCCCCCAAGTTTTTTTCTTCACGACCAACTCCAAATTCAACAATTAACAATGATTAAATGAGAACTCTTGAATTTCTATATTCAAATTCATTTGACCATTCGAGTAGTGGTGAAGTTACATGGGTTGAAGATGATAAGCCGAAAACCAAAGAAAAAGAAAAAGTGAATGCATATTAAATCACGAGATCCAAATAAAAAGAAACAATCAAGAAATTCTATTTAGCATTGAAATTTTTGAAGATTCATATTTATCATACTTGGAGTATTATCTGTTACATGTTTATGGGTTTAAAACTTGCAAGCGGGTTGGGCCTAACCATGGGGAAACCTACTGGTCCATAAGTATTTCGAACAAACGTAAACCCTTGGGTTTTTAAACTTTCATTGTGAAAGTGTGAAATGAAGATTCTAAAACATGACCTTACGCTGGCCGGAAACGAAGACCTTGAGCTCAAAGATGTATAATTTTTTCTTTTTGTACTACAGGGGAGGACCCAAGATTGAACTTATGTCGGGGGAAGGAGGGGGTATATAGTTCGGGGGAGAGAGATTTTGCTCAAAACGTTGGTGAGATTTTTTTTTTGACCAAGTTAGTAGAGTTAGTTTGTTAGCCCTGAACTCCGCCTCACCCAAACCCTAAAGTTTGGGGCTAACCAATTGAGCCACATGCCCGGTTGACAAAGTATTGGTGAGATTTAAAATCTTAATCAACTAACTTAAATATTTAAAACTTGAGTACGAACTACTTAAACACGGGTTTGAATTCAATTCATGTAATTGATGGACATAAATTGTTAAAAGGGCGGCCCAAGGGTTGCATGAATGATCATCAGTCCACACAAAAAATATTTTTTGAACCTGACCCATTAACGTGTACAGCACACTGATGATGGGGCAGCGCCGCAGCGGCCTCCGTCACCTTTGAGTAGGGGAGGGGACCGTTGGACAGGAACCGCCCCCTACCCGACGGACCCAGGAGACGGCTGTCAACCACTAATGACTTTTCCATACATGGGACCATACCTACCAAAAAGAAAAGACCCCATCTCACATTCATTATAGGGGTGAGTTTGAAATTATTGTAAGATATTATAATTGTAATTATGATTATAATTGTGTTATAATTGTAAATAAAAGTTATTTTGATATTTAATTATTTATTTTTTTTGAAAATATTATAGATGATATATAATAAAATTTATTAATTATTAATTAAAAATTTAAAAATATTGTATAATATATAATTATTAAATTGATAATATTTACTTTTTTTTAATAATTTAAGTTTTTTATGATGGCATTTTTTGAGGTTTTATTAGATAACAACTTGTAAAGAGAAAATAAAATTTAAATTTTTGTAAAATCTTTAAATAAATTAGATTTTAGATTTAAATAATTTATTATAAATTATAATATAATTGAATTAAATGAGATTGAATTTTAATAAATAATTTTATAATTATATTAAATATTATCTGTAAAAATTACAGTATAATACTCCAAATGAGATTTTTATCTTTACATGTAAAATTATTGTAAGTCTACTATAAACTTTGCAACTTTTGAAAAAAATAATCTATAAAAATTTCCCACAAACAAATATATATTTAAAAATACTATTCAACTTTAAGAAAAAAACTCAAGTATATTCTCAAATGCAACTACATATACATTTCAAAAAAAATTTATGCAGATTAAATTGTTTGGAAGACATAACACTTATATGTATAATAAAAAAATATTTCCTTGGTCAGATCTCTTGTTAAAATTACAATTTAAATATTAAAATTATTAACTTATTAATAATAAAAAATAAAACACTTTTTATTTTTATTTATTAATAATAATTCATTAATTTTAATAGTGAAAGTACATTGAAAGTACATCACATTACAAACGAAAAAAAACATGAAATTCTATGCATAATTGCAAGAAGAGTAAATGGCATTTAAAATTGTACCCAACAAAAAGGCATTTAAAATTCAAGATTTTTATGTATTTATATGTACACAAAACGGGTGACTTTTTCAATTGCAAAAAAAAAAAAAAAACACATAGACACAAATAAATTAACAATTTAAATTTCTCTGCCAGAATTCTAGAGAGGCGAAATGTGGCCCATTGTGTACCCGAAAATTCAATTAATCGTATAAAAGAAGTAATCAATAAGGGAAAAAAAAATTAATTAAGCTCGGCCCAGTAAATGGAATACTATACAACAGAACGCAACAATCAAGTTCTGCACCCGGTATCTCTCACCGTCCGATGAAAGGTCTCCAGGCGGTGACGACTGATGCGACGCTGGCCCACTCAGTTCCGGAGAATTCTCCGGTGATAACGAAGTTTCTGGAGGAGGAGCTTCTCCCCCTCCCCCATGTCCTCGACTTGGCGTAGTTGCGGAGGCATCCTTGCCAAAAATCTCTTTTGGAAGAAGAACTTTCGATACTCCGAAAATCGCCACCGGGTTTTGGTCAATTACGGTTTGGGTCACCGACGCTTGTACGATCCCGGTGTCGATTGCCACTGATTTATTAACCCTCGAAATGTTGAGGGTAAAGCTTCCGGCTCCTTTATCTTCCGTTGCCAGTGTGGGTTGCACGGGATTTACAATCGATTCGAGTGAACCCAGGGGATAATATGAATGGAGAACATGGAATTTAAGTACAACTGCTTTCTGTTCCGCCGGCAGAGACTGCAAGTTCACTGTTCCGGGTAGATCTGTGAATGCGAGGTCGGTGGGAACAAACAGAGTGATCCCAGCACCTGCTTCATCGGCCTGGAATTCGTCAACGACGCCGGAGGCGGCCAAAAGGGACGCGGCCACGTTGAAGTTGTGGCCGTCGATTAGGGTTTTGGTGATGTTGAGGTTGATGGGAGGGCGTGTCTCGGAGGCCGTTAGATCGAATCCGTAGGGGACGAGGAGGGAATTGACGGCGAGGATTGTGATGTTGTAAGGGAGGGTTTTGATTACGGACAAGACGGTGACGTTCGAAGGGGAGTAAGGGGCAGGGGAATGCACTGTTATGGAGTTGGTGACGGGGTTGCGGGTGAGATTGACGGAGCCAAAGTTAGATGGGGCGCGGCCGGTGGTCTGGAGGAGGGTGGTGACGAGGACTCCAGAAGGGGGGATCTTCTGGAGGTCAGACGAGGAGAAATACTGGAGGAGGACGTGGTAGCGGAGGAGGTCGGCAAGGGAGGATTGAGACAGGCGATGGGTGAGGTCGGAGGAGGAAGCAAGATAGGGGTTGGGGACGGCAAGGAGAGTGAGGGAATTGCGGTGGGTAAGGTCTGCGGTGACAAAGGTGGATGATAAAAGAGAAGAGAATGAGGAAAGGTTTTGGTAGGAGGAGAGGAGGGTGGTGATGTCTATGGCGGCGGTAGAGGAGGAGGAGGAGGAGGAGGAGAGTATGAGTAGGAAAGTGAATATGAGTGTGAGAGAGGTAATACGGCTAATAAAAAATGGAAAGGCCATGTCTGCTTTGTCACCGAAGGAGGAGAGAGTTCTGATTTTTTTGAAGCAAAAAGGGGAAGAAGGGGGGTGTGGGGAAGAGGAGTGGGTGGGAGTGAAATGGCGATCTGGGTTTCTAGAAAGGAACTTGCTTTTCCATCTCGCTGTTCAGAGGTAAGTGCACACACACGCCGGTGGAAGTGAATTCCGGTTCATTTTGACACGCCGTCGTCGGTTGGAAAAGAATTGTAGATGGGATTCTCTGAACCAAACTGTAGTTTTTGTTGTACTTTGGACTCTTACTACAGTAGACTACCATACACTTGGTAGTTGGTATCTGTTTCATACCTCAAGACATGCAAATTTTAGATACGCATGATGTAATAATTATTTTTATTTTTTTATTGAAATTTGTTCTTAAAAAAATAATTATAAGAGATATTTTTTTTTTATGTTAGTTACACAATTTCACTTGTACGTCAAACAATTTAGTTTCAAAATTTTTATTTTTAATAAAAAAATTATTACTGAATTATTTGAATCGTTAATAATTATAAAAGAATTTATCATTCTTCTATACTAAAAAATATATATCTATATATATAGATAATTTAAGCCTCACATTATTGCAAAATTATAAGTTAAGCCCTTTTTTAAATGCATGTTAATAAAGTTAAAGTGATAAACTATCCTTTTAATTTGTGGTTTAAAGTGTTAAATTATCCTTTTAATATGTGATTTTCTTAATTAGTTTCTCTTCGCTAGTTAATCTAAATAAGATGTCATTTTCTGTTAATAACCAAATACAAATTAACTTTGTCATCATAGAATAGAAACTAATGTTGTAAATTTTGGATGGTTAATTGATTTTAATATATATATATATATATATACATTTTTTACCGATTATATTAAGAATGATAAATTGAGATGGATTCATTACACTACAAGCTTTCTATTTAAAGAAATAGGAAGCTAGCATACCCACATGTAGAGGAATGTTAATATTTTGGTTTTATATGTGTACGGTACAAACCACAAAGACAACTTGATGCATGACCCCGGTCCCCACCAAATAATACTATCAATGGATTAAAAAATGCAATCAAAATTTGATCGATGTTAGACTTTTATATTTTATTCTCTTGCAAAAATAGAAAGAACATAAAAAAAAAAAAAAAGAAGCAAAAGAAAGAAACTTTCTTTTGTAATATGAGAAATGTTATAATTGTGAAAAGGAAAATTATTTTTGTATATATTTTTTTGTTTTAATTTTTTTTTATAATTTAATATGTCATTTAAAT